CTTTTAATCCTTATTTTTTAAAAGATTTTATTTATTTATTTGACACAGAGAGAGAGCACAAGCAGGGAGAGTGGCAGGCAGAGGGAGAAGCAGGCTTCCCGCTGAGCAGGGAGCCCGACGTGAGGCTCAACCCCAGAACCCCGGGATCACAACCCGAGCCAAAGTCACACACCCAACCAACTGAGCCACCCAGGCGCCCCTTTAATCCTTATTTTGTAAGTGAAGCCTCAGCCACGTAGGGCGGCTGGCCTAAGGTCACTCAGCTAGTAAGTAACAGAGCTGGAATTTGGACTCAGGACTATCTGACTCCAGAACCCACACTCACTCCACCATGCTGCAGGGACTCTTGTCATCACCGTGTTGCAACATCAGTTAAAACAAGTAAACTAAAGAGTGGGTTGAAACTGACCGGATGGTTGAAGTTACTCGTTACAAGTATTGACAGCAAAGGAACAGCCTATGAAGGGCCTTTCATTCCAGAATTACAATTTGTCAAAATCAGACTCATGCAGGAGGGTTTGGATTGCTATATGTTCTATAGCATACATTAAAGAGGAAGAGACAGGGGCGCCTGGGTGGCTCAGTAGTTAAGCGTCTGCCTTCAGCTCAGGTCATGATCCCAGGGTCCTGGGATCGAGCCCCGCATCGGGCTCTCTGCTCAGCAGGAAGCCTGCTTCTCCCTCTCCCGCTCCCCCTGCTTGTGTTCCCTCTCTCGCTGTGTCTCTCTCTGTCAAATAAATAAATAAATAAATAAAAAGGAAGAGACAAATCATACAGGGGATTTTTATTGTGCTTGTTTTTAAGAAAGCAAGTTTCATGATGTGTCATAGGCCCAGCACAGATTCGGCTCCAATGTATCACCATTTCTATATATTCACAACATCGTACACAAGTTAAATATGAGAGAACAGAGCAGCAAGAATAGATTAGATTTCCTATACTTTGTTTAGTAAGGCAGGGAAATATGCACTACATCTCAGAAAGATTTCCATAGAAAGGATTGACACAGGTCTTTCAACAGGGAAAAATTGATAATAAACCCTCCTCAAAGTTTACTACCATCATTTCCAGCCAATATAGTAACCTGTTAGACCCCCATGCAGCAAGATTCAGATAAACATAGTCTCTTACCATCAGTACTTCACAATCTTAAAGAGTCAACATCAAAGCCTCAGTTACGTAAAGATTTTAATGCTATAATTCTAAAAATCTCTGACTGAGATTTCTGGAGATAAAGAAAATACGATAGAAGTATGTCTGTTTGTATCTCCACTCTTGCAATATTGCTTACAACAAGCATGGCTGGGCTGCTCGTTAGGAGAAAAATGTTGTACACAGTACTTTAAGAAGAGCACCGATGGACCAACAAATATTTCTCAAGACTCTCCTGTGGAGATTGCACCCCATTGTTGGGGTGTGTGTTGTGAGGGCTGTGTTCAGTCATCCATTCAACATATAGGTATTGGGGGCCTGCTATGCTCTACGTACTGTTTTAGAAGCGGGGTATAGAAGTGTAGGGCTCCTTCCTTCAAGGAGTTCACAGTCACAGAAACACAGATTGTCAGAGCTAGAAGGACTCTTAGAGAGTATATAGACCACCTTCCTCAGTTGGAAGTTAAGGAAGGAGGCTGTGGGTTCAGAGATGTTAAGCTACTGATCCAGGGGCACAATGCTCAGAGTGGCAGCACAAGAATTAGAAACCAGCTCTTTGGACTCCCTAATCCTATGTTCTTTCCGTTATTCCAGTCTATTTGGGAAGACAGGATACTCCCACATGAAACAACTTTAGAACAATAGCAGACAAAAAGCTGCTAACAAACCATATGGTATTAACCATAAGTTTAACAGGAGTTAGAGGAGGACTGGAGACATCCAACAGAGCTTAAATCTTCTGAGTAATGACATGCAATTTATTTATGGCAGGGGAGACTTGCTATGCTTCTGACATGTTGTAAGGATGAATGAGATGAAGGCATTCCAAGGAAGCAGTACTTCCCTCTGGATCTTATCATCTTGCTCTAAGAAGATAGGTTTTGGTACACAGGCTAGCATCTCCTTCATTTATAACAGAAAAAATATAAAATCTGGGGGGTGGGTGGATAATCGGCAAAATAATATACGAAAGCTGTGGAGTTCAACTTCTGTTTTGCAATTTACACCAAGATCTACTGAGACGCAAAATCTCACAAAGACCATATTTACTCTGAGTATTGCTGAATAAAAGTGAGCCAAAGAAGAAGAATGTTCCTATGGGGAAATTTTTGTAGGAGAAACCTTTTAGTTAGAAATTTATCTTCAGATGGGCTACGTATTATCGGAAAGTTTTTACGTGTTGTGATTTTAATAGGAACTCTCTATAAGTAGGGAAGGTGGAAATTTATCTTTGTAAAGAAAAGCTTCACAGGGCTTTATTTGAAAAATATTTACAAAGTGACTACCATGGCACTGGGCACATCCCAGGGCAGTGCTTCTCAGGCTGTAGTAAAGGATTAGTTTATTTTATATATTTTTTATTCTGTCTGACATGTACAAATACTTGGGGAAACTACAATAAAAATGAATGACTAGAAAAACTGGGAAATAAAACCAAAATACAAGACCGTTTTTAAACAATTATGAGATTCAACAGTGGGGCCAATTCATCATGTGCTTACATGTGGCTGTGGTATCAAAATGCTATAAAATTTTCTAAAGGCTTACTCTCCCTTTTTGTACTTAAACTTGGCACAGACCGGTAGCAAACAGTGCAGGGACCAGCACAAGTATCCAGACCACACTTTGAGTAGCACTTGTACTAGAGGAAATAGAGAGAGAAGCGTCATGAGAACCTGTGCTCATCTAAAGCTTACAAGTCATGGTGGAGACAATGGTCCCTCCAGGTGTTGGTACAGCAAATATGGCAGATGCTGGGCTAACGGGTATAGAATGGTTTGGTACCTACTCTCCCCTTCCTTTGGCTGCAGGCCCCCACCACACTGCTGCTCAGGAACACAGTCCCTCATGGATAGCCTTTATGATAAGTCTATAGAGTTAGGGGTGGGGTGGGGATGATCGCCTTTTCTTGAGAGATGCTACTTTGGAAATTCCGCAAGACTTAGAACTGTGGCTGGGGTTTGGGAAGTGGGATGGGAGAGGTGGTTGAGAAAGCATGAGTTGCTATCTGTGGTGGTGGCTGTCGATTTTCCTCCCCCAGATTGCTGGGAATTCAGGGAGCTCTGAGGATGAGAAAGGAACCTGATGGAAGGAAACAATGTGAGAGTTCAACTGTTGGAGATCCTCTGTTGACCTAGGCTCCAGAGCATAAAGACCCAGAAAAAAACAAACAAACAAAAAAACATAGTAAAATTACTTATAGGTTCTACACACCATACGACAAAATAAATATATTACATTACCTGAACCACTGTGTTTTTTGGGCCATGATAATTCAAAGCAAAACAAAGGATGTGTGAATTGCCATGCCTCAGGCATCACCAGCCTTTAGATTTAATGCTACCATAGTCTCAACCACCAAACTACAAACCCATTAAATTGTTTAGAAAACCAAATATCCTATGCAAGAGACAAAATGTTAGATATAGATAGATAGATACACTATATCTGCCCAATCAAAAAAAAATCAATGGACTGGGGGTATGAAGAAATATGTTATGAATCTAGATCAATATCCCTCATACAAACAGAGACAGAACAGAATAATTTTTTATTTGTAGTAATCAACATGATGCCACAAATAAAAATTTCAATAATTTTTTCCCCCAAGTCTTAGACTGTAGCTTACAAGAACCTCAGTATATTTTGTGGATTTAGTGAGGGCCAAGCATAGTCCCTGGTCTGAGGAGAGGCTATCCATCCACAACTCATAATGCAAGCATCTCAGCCGGCCCTATTAATTTTCCATACACATGGAGCCAAACTCTGCCTGGGATTATTATGCAATTTTCAAAATGGCTTTAAGTCTTTCAACTTACAAAGTTACCATTTACATTGCACTGGCCTGCTGGCTGGGATGAATGAATGAACGCTCTTTCCCAAAGGACCATAATTCATTCTCTGATCCTAGCTTATATGTTTGGGAGAATTGGGATCCGTGTGCCTGGCGCCTCCCCTCCTCTCTGCCCCACAAAGGACTCATACACTGCGAGAGAAGGGGAGACAAAGTGGCTGTGTGCCATGGAGTGCAGAGGTGTGGCTAGGGATGTGTTGACCGGGGGTAGCAGCAGTCCAACGTATAAGCAACTGTCTACATGATGTGATTTCAGGTGCACCAAAAAAGGCCTCATTGCCCCTCAGTTTAAACACTCCCTTCCCACTGGCGAATGCCTGGAATTCCACAGTTTGGAGAGCTCTGTTCCTTTGGTTTAAAGCTTTGATCCCTGTTAAAATACCCGTACCCCTGGGTGGGCAGCCCCATTATATCCTATCAAGCAGATAGACTGTGGGCAGATGAGTCTGAAAGTTTCTTCTCTGAAAGCCCGTTTTGAGGACAGGGCAAGGAGGAGAAGGCACTGTGCACCTGAGGGGGGTGGGAAGAGGAGGGCATCATCTGGGGGGCAAAGGGAACCGGGCCATCATCTGGGGGGCAAAGGGAACCGGGCCCAAGGCAAACCATGTGTGCGTGTGTGGCCGCGTGCACGGCTGTGTATGAGCCCCTCCCATGGCGGCAGCTGCTGAACACCCTTTCTTAACTCGCTCCCAGAAACCTTGATTTATGCTGCTTTTGGAGCCATGGAACTAGACTCTCCTCCCAGCTACAGCAAGATAATAGCTGCTGGCTACAGCTGGGAATTCTTGAATTCTTTCAAACTGGAGACTAGGAACACAAGGTGAAGAAAAGTTCTTCTGAGGCCCAAAGAGGAAAATGGGGCCCAACGGTGTCACCTAAATGCTTCCAAGGGGGCCTGAAAGCACAGAACCATGAATTGTAGAAAGTGAACGCTGGCTCAATCAGCACATCCTTTTGTGTTTCTCGACTGATTGTTTCTCTTTGTCTCTTCCAGCTGAAGAGTAAGAATGAGTCATTGGCCTGACTCCTAACGCGAGGAAGGGAGCCTTGAAGGGTAAGATGGTTGTTTATGTAAAAGAGCAAAAAAGAAAACCCAGTCTTAATTCATAGTCACTCATCTGGGCAGTGGAGAGTACGTAACGGAACAGATTTTAGGCTTTGGGAAAGGAACTGGATGTTTGTCAGTAAAACTCCGTTGTCACTGGATGTGCAGAGAGCACCGGATCGATCGCTGTTCCTGACCCAAAGCCTGTTGTTCCTCAGGGTCTGCCCCGGTGTCTGAAATTCCACTGCCAGAGTCATCGCTCGGGGGCTGGAAGACCAGAAAGTCTTTGAGAGGCCCTTATAAAAATGGAACTGCTTCTTAAGCCTAGCCCCTTTTATTCCCTCCTCCCTTAGGTTGGCTTAAAGCCTTGAAGAAGCTGCTTGGATGGAGGAGGAGCAGACGCTTTGAGGCCAAAGACTGAGTTCCCCAAACCTCAGGGCTGGTTTGCCTGTGAGCTAGCCCTAGTCCTGGTCATTCACATAGCACCCCACAAGTTTTGCCATATCGTCATATTCCCAATACTCTTTCATGTTTTTCTTCAAGCCAGCTCACGTTTTCACTGAAAGCAGTTCGTTTCAGCACTATCTACTTAGCTTTGTCCTAATGCAGTCAGGGGTTAGGTGCACTACTCATGTATATATTTTTCTAATCCACATTAAAATAAATATCGAGTAAAATAAAAACCAAAAACTTCACTGGCCCACCTATCACCACGGATTCACGCACTTTACTTTGGGAAGCACCCCCCTGGCTCATACAGAGCGTATCACATAAAGAAGGTTATATTAAAAATAGGTCTCAGTCCCTCATTTCAAGGTACTCACTACCCAGTAGTTGAAAACAACTGTTGCCTTTGTAGTTAGTTGCATGAGCTCTGGAAGATCATGAATTTATGGGAGGTCATGTCTTCCTCTGCGAGGTCATGAAATTCAATCAATGCTTGCCTTCCAATCTGCCCTTTGGTCACAGGGCTCCACAGGTGGAACATATCAAACTCACCAGCCAAATTATGACTCTTAATTGGTGTTTCTTTTAAAGTGGATATGTCATTTGTCAAATGTTCAATGCAGGCGCAGGCCTAGCCCCAGGCAAAATTATGAAGTAGGAGAAGAATGCCAGATACATAGGCGGCACTCAAATGTTTGTTGAAAAAAGAATGAATGAGCCCTCCGTCCTTGACTCCTCTCCCAGCCCCCACATCCACCAGGTCACTAAGCCTTTTTCATTCTCCTCCCCAAATACCGCTGCTAGTTTTTTTTCCCTTCCACACACATCTCCTCTGCCCTGGGCCTTTATCGCTTCTGGTCTGGATGACTTTCACAGCGTTTTAACTTGCTTCCAATCCTCTTTCTTCTCCAAACCGTTCTCCACAATCCACAAAGTTGCCGGAGAGATCTGTTCCTCAGGCAAATATGATCATGTCACTCCTCTGCTTAGCATCCCCTTAAGTGGTTCCACGGGCTCCTTAGCCTGGCTTCAAGACTGCATCACCTGGCCCTTGCTCGCTCACCTCGGCCTCGTGGGCTCTTCTGACCCATTCCCCCCCCCTCCAGCCTGAGCGGTTGCTTGTACTTCCCACCCTGCAATGGGGCCCTACAGGCTGTCCCTGCTCCATCTCTGTTCGTGCTGCTGCTTTTCCCTTGGCCCCCTCCTTGCCAGCTGCTTTTCTGACTTCAACTCCTGCTGGCCTTGTAAGCGTGAGCTTATGGCACCGTCTCTTCTGGGAAGCTTTCTCTGACCTACCCTCTCACCCCTTAGAATGCTGCCCTTGCTTCTGTCTTATCACTGACCATGTGCTGTGTTAACATTTTCTGTTTGGTTGTTTTCCCCATTAGACTTGTAGCTCTTTGAAGTTAGGTACCAAGAGTTAATCTTTGGATCCTCATTGTTTGCATCCCACGTGTCTGGTGCATAGTAGGAGTTCAAATCTTTGTTACTGAATGAATGAACGAATGAATGAGCGAGCTCCTCAGCAGCCTACCCTTCCTTTACCTCTTTCCTCAGCCCACAAGTTCTGGCACATGACCTCCTCTCTCCTGGTCTGGCACTCCCTGGGAAATTCGTGGTGTGGAGGCTCTCCCTTTTCTTTCCTAATCAAAACCTACTTTTACCTAGATCAGAAACAACACAATCAGATGAGAAACTAATCCACACTGAGGTGTTAAATCATGTCATTATACGAGTAATTTTTGAGTTCCTACCAGGTGCAAGGCACCGTGCTAAGAGGCATGTGTGTGTGTATGGGGGGGGGGTCACAGAGAAGAATAGGAGAGTTAAAGATCCTTACCTAGGAGCACATGGGTAATGACTAAACGCATTCCTCCTTTGAGAGGTATTTCATTTTCAAAGAACTGGATTTCTAATGGAGAAATTTAAGCAGGTGAGGTGGGGATTTGGGTCTAGGAGACAGTTCAAACAGCCTTCTACTCCATCTACGAAACAGGCAAGCTCTGGCTCGATGAATCTGCTGTGTCCAATGATTTCCTCATGAGTTAGGCTGGCGTTAAGCCCCAGGTTATTTTGTTGTCACCAGTTATGCTTTGCTTCATGAAGGGTCACCCGGGGCTATCTTACAGGAGACAGATTCTTTTAACATCCTGGGATCAGGTGCTTTCTCTGACTTTGTGTGGCTCTTTGGAATCAAACGTAGCAAATCCCACGGGCTTGTAGACTTTTTAGGTACAGGAGTCAAAGATGAGGCAGGCTGTGAACCACCCCCCGCCCCGGGCGGTCCCCGGCTGCCCCTGAATGTGACTATTCGTGGGTTGGGTTTGCGAACCCGACTCGGGCCGCTGCGTTGGGAAAACCGTTTGAGGGAAGCCCCTCGGAGAGCAGGAAGAGGAGGTGGATTTTGTGCGGAGGAGGAAGACCTCGGGTGGCCCGGGTGGCCAGGGGCGAGCTGGACCCGGCTGGGAGGAGGCCTGCGGCGAAGCGGAGAGGGGCCCCGCGGCCGGGGAGCCCCCACGCACCTCAAGGAAGGATGGAGAGGTTGCAAAAATCCTAAAGGGAAAAGCCCTGGCGGCTGCAGGCCAATGAGCGGCGGGAAGGAGGAGTGAGGCTGGGGAACTTCTCCCAGAGCCAGTCAGAGGGGACGGCTGCTGGGAAGCCAATCAGCGCGCCGGAGCCCGCAGCCCCTCTGCAGTAGTTATGCCAGAGCGCCCTGGGTAGAGCGGCGGCGAGCGGGCAGCTGGGCTGGGCCGCCAGGAGCCATCGCACGCGCTCGGCGCCCTCCTCCCCGCCGCTCCCGCCCGGTCGCCGCGCCGCGGTGCCCCAGCCGGCCCCGCAGCCCCGCGCCCCCGCCCCCGCAGGCTCGCCGCCGCTCGGCGGCCGCCGCCCCCCTGGCCGCGCGCTTGGCCTCGCCCCGCCCCGCCCGGTCCCCCGTCGCCCCGCCCCGCCCGCCGGCCCCGCCCCGCCCGAGCCGCCGAGCCGTTCCCGCCCTCGCCCCGCGCCCAGGTAGCTGCGAGGAAACTTTTGCCGCGGCTGGGTAGCGGCACGTCTCCCGCTCCTCAGGGCCGCTGCCAGCCTTGCCGAGTCTCGGGACCGCTCTCGCCCCCGCTGCCACTCTCCCGCGCTCTCCTCGCTGCCCGCGAAGCAGGATGGCGGGGACCGTGCGCACCGCGTGCTTGGTGGTGGCGATGCTGCTCAGCTTGGACTGCCCGGGACAGGCGCAGCCCCCGCCGCCGCCGCCGGACGCCACCTGTCACCAGGTCCGCTCCTTCTTCCAGAGATTGCAGCCCGGACTCAAGTGGGTGCCCGAAACCCCCGTGCCAGGTGAGGAGGCGACCCCGCGCGCGTCCCCCGCGTCCGGCGGGGAGCCGGGGGCGCGTGGCGACCGTACCCCCGGGGCGCGCTGGCCTCGTGGGGCCGCGGTCGTGCGCCCCGCCGCTGGGCACCTGGGAGTGGTCGCTGGGCCCGGGGCCCGGCCAGGTCTACCGGGGGAGGGCGGAAGGGTGAGCGTGGACCGTGTCCGCATCTCCCGGGCTCGCTCTGCTGTCAGGGAAGGTGCGGGTGGGAGGCACGGCGGGGAGGGCCTTCTCGCGAGCGCCCATTTTTTGGGGAGGGCGGGAAGGTGGGAGCTGCTTCCCGGGGCCTCGGCGAACTGGCGCCCCACAGCCGAGCCGGTGCCTCGAGCATTCGCCACCCTCCCTTGCACGAACGTGCCAGCGTTTCAGCCGGAGCTGGACCGTGGCTACGGCCATTCTCTCCCCAGCCTGCCCCCCCTCGCCCTCCTTTCCGCAGCCTGGGTTCCCGGGGTTCGCGGGCCCAAGTGCAGGCAAAGTTGGGGACAGATCTCCGAATCCACAGTGGCAGGTAGAGTACACGCTGGGGGGAACTTTTGAGTAGGAGGGTCCCCAAGATGAGGAGGACCGAACCTTCCCCTTCAAAACAGCGTCCCTTATCCAGGTTGGCAAAATCGCTTCGAAAACGGTGCTGCTGGCCGGGGAGCAGAAGTCCAAAGATGATTTAACTCCTCCCCTCCTCAAATTCATCTGCCTTCTTGACAGGCTGGACCCTGAAGGGGAGATGATTTTAGGTGGAGGAAAGTTTCTGAACGCCTGCCTTTTGTTCTGCACAATCAGATCGTGTTGTAAGGGCATATTTTAACCTTCGCTGAGGGCTGCCGCTGTCAACAGATGAATATTAATGGCCCCGTGTGATTGACTGTCCCGCGGTTGGACTCCTAAAAGCCTGCCTTAGAATCCAATTAGGACAAGTTGCTACATTGACACTGCGGGCGAGAAGAGTTGGTTTGAAACAGGTTAATTTATCGGAGGTGCGCTCTGCAGAAGCGGCCGGTGGTGTTCGCAAACCCTGAGACGTCCGTGGCCTTCGGGGTCTCCTCCCAGCCCGCGCCTCCAGCGAGGCGCGCGTCCCGCGCTTCGGAGGGATCAGGGATCGGGGAGCAGCCCTCGTCAAAACTTGGCTCGTGGCTCTCAACAAGTCAGAGAGGCGGGCCTGATGGTTGGACCAAGTTGTGAACGCGACGCGAGCGTTCACTAGCGGGAGCTTACCTAGGCTGCCGGCGCTCCCTCAGCCCCTCAGCCTTTTCTTTAGGTGGATTAAAAGAGCCGAGCTCGCTCGCTGTTTGGTTGCAAAGGTAATTGGTCACCCCTTTTGGCGACTGAAATGCATTTGCGCATATGTTAAATATTGCGTTGCAGGATTTCGCTCTATGGGAGGGGAGAACTACCTCTCCCGCTGTTAAATGTTCATAACGTACCACGTGGGCGTGTGCAGGAGCTGTAAGGGGCAACCCATGAATCAGTTCCACAGAGCTGAAACAACAGGCGCAATCTCTCTCCCCTCGAAGTGCCGTGGTAATTAGATTGCTAAGGCCAGAGAATACGCTCTTGTTGATAATGTAAAAATTGGTCCTCACAGGATGAGTCCCAGCGAGATGAATGGTTCCGGGGTTGGGGTTGGAGCCACATTCGGCTGGTTCCAGGCCAGGGTGTAAAGGTTGTACTTAAAAGAAGAAAAAGACCAGAAGGAACACACTGATACTCATTTAGCAACCCCCTCCCTCTACACACACTCCTGCTGGCGCTGGCCCTCCCTCCTCCTCCCCAGCTCTCTGGCTGCCGGCCTCTTTGCAGCATCTGTATACAAGTACTGGGAGGGCCCACACACTGTGTGTAAGAGATTTGGCCTGGGCTCCCTCCCTGCACGCTCTCTTGCTCCCTGCCTAAGGATGGCCATGCTGTAGAGGACAGGAATTCCTAATGGGGATTTTTTCCCTTTTCCTCCAGTATTTACCAAACTCTATAGGCCAA